ACTGTCACAATACTACGACTCACAACTTGGCTGGATAGACCAGCCTGCTCTGATACCACTAATGTAACACCCCAAATATACCTCGCGCGTTTAGTTAAAAATCATAGTGAATTCAAACATTTCATATTTAGGATGTCACACAATTTAACACAATCAACTGTTCATATATTAAAATATGTAACACATGCAAATACTTGAAAATTATTTAAAATCACCAAAACAACTCAACATGTCTTGATTTCAAAATCTTTATTGAAATAGAGGAAGCATCAACATAAACAATTATTCAAAGCATAATTATTCTTCAAAATAATATAAACAACACTTATTCTAGAGATACCCCAAAATCTCCATCACACTTAACATAACACAACGTTCCCTGACTCCGATGTTACACATCAGAGCAGACGCCGACACTAAAGGGAAAATAGGAGACTTCATCTTCTACTTACTTCAACTCCTTTACTATGAGTTATCTGCATATTGCCCATGTAAAGGCAGCATTCAAACAGAAAGGGTGAGATATCATAAATAGATAAAGGCAAGCACGATAATAAAGCAAGCATTAGATTTCTCATGCACAAACACTCATTCCACAACATACAATCCTACAACATCAATTACAACCAACATGACAATAAATCCAACACAACAACAACAAACACAACAATAATGCAATGTTTTAAGACTCACGACTCAACTCAATGCATGTGGTTCCATCGGTCCCTATTTCAGAACCCGACCCCTATTTCAGGATCTCAATTCCCGTCGCAATTTCCATAATATCGCTCACACCCCACAAGGTTACACGACTTCCGTGATCGCTCGCACTCACATGGTCACACGATCACCTTAACAACAACGACAACAATGATATGATTCAGTAATTATAATCCAGATAAGACGCTCACACCCCACATGGGCACACGACTTATCTCACAACTCATGCAATCATGAAATGCATGACAAGAACAATGACAACAACCATCTAACAATGCAACATGCCACTACAGTCCAGCAACAACAACATGCCATACAGTCCAACAACAACGACATACAACATGGAAAGCATCCTCAAGGCATATAAAATCATATCACACCACACCAAAATGATTATAATGCGTTTAATACAACTAACATCAAAATTATTCAACTTCTATCATCGAAACTATTTTCCTACAAAAGTTCGGCACATCAGCTTCCCGACGCTTTGAACGACACTTGAATCGGATTCCCAAAACAAAAGTTATCAATTTTTAAAAAAAAAAATCAACAAAATAATAGTGTAATCGATTACGCAAAATGTGATAATCGATTACGCATGCGTAACCAGCCTATCAGCGCCACAACCACTGGCTTAATCAATTACCACAAAACCTGTAATCGATTACACCTTCGAAAAAGGCCAAAGATACAGTTTTTAGCTAGCATAATTGATTACCACAAAACCCGTAATCGATTACGCCTTCGAAAAAGCCCAAAATGCAATTTTTTTTGGACTGTGTAACTGATTACGCCCAAAGTGGTAATCGATTACACAACGTCCAAAATCACTTTTTCAACAACTTATCATACAAAAAAGACTTTTGAACTCTTCCAAAACTTCGTTTTTCTTATAAATCGTTTGGAACATATTTTAACACGAAAAAACATTTTTATAAAGTCCCAAACCCCAAATCTTTTTCATCAAAAATTGCTCATGACTTTTTTCCGACTTTGACTTGCAATCACAACAACCAACAATGTCAAACAACGAAAATTAATCGATTCAACAACAACAACAACAACAACAACAATGCAACGATTTCATCTACAACAATTCTAACAACAACATACATCATTCATCATAAACAACCAAACCCCACAAAACTATTTCATCAAAAGTATGAACAAAGGAAGAAAAAAAACACAAAACCTACATGAAAGAATTTACCCACAATTATTATCATATTAATTTTTAATTAGTTAGAACCTCACTCTTACCTTAGAGTTTTTGCGATTATTTTCTCTTCCTTAACAATGGAGTTTCTTCTCTATTCTCTTGAGCTCTAGCATTTCTTTTCCCTTTTTTTTCACTTTTCACGCTCCGACAAAAACCTTATCAACTTCCCCTTTTTCCATTATATTATTATTATTATTATTATTATTATTATTATTATTATTATTATTATTATTATTATTATTATTATTATTATTATTATTATACAAATTAACTAATAATAATATTTTCTAATTATTTAAATTGGTAATATTCAACTAATATTATTAATATTATTTTAAATAGTCACTCTCACCGAACCACCAAATTATAAGCAATTGGTCCTACATCCCTCTCTTTTAGAATCTATAATTTTAAAGTTACTACCCCCTACCACAGGGTATCCCAACACATCAAAACACCGATAACACATAATATACGCAAAAACACATAATTGAATTATGAAAAACAAATAAAAGAAGTTGGGGCGTTACACTATTAATATAAAAAAAAATTAATTTGGTATTTTAAATATGTATAAGGTTTCAATTTAATCTCTTTACTAAATTGCTGAATCATTTGTCATGATGTAATACCACACATATGTATAACTTAACATTTTTTCATAAAATTTAACAGAAATGATCAACATAATTAATAAAATAGTTTTTAAGAAGATAAAATGTAACCTTTATCTATTTTAAAGAGATAAAATGTAACATTTATTAAACAAAGGCTAAACTAAAACATAAAATAAAATAAAACAACTTTGACACTAAATAAATTTTCATCTTTCTATGCGGCCTCCTCTTTCACATTTCAAGAACGACTGAAATTTTATTTTTCTCACCTAAATTTGATATTGAAATAGCAATAATACATTTTAATTTTTATATATTACCTCTAACCCATATGAACAACTTGTCTTGTGCCAATAAACAACACTCTTATCCAAACATGTACCTGGGAGCATTCATTAAATTTTCAAAATATAAAATAAAGAACATGCTAACCTAAATCTAGTCATAGAATACGACATTAAAATGAAAGTACTCCGTGGTAACGAAAAGATCTAATAGTAGAGGAACATGATCGAGTCAGCTTCAATAAATGCTCTACCAATCCTATGTAGACAGAGAACTACTCTATAAATACAGAGTGGCAGTATGGCACATTGGTACTTAGCTTCTTCTTCTTCTTTTTTAAATCAATTATTATGAATGGGTAGTTAGCATTTCAAATCAATAAGTCATGGCATCATCGTGATTTCTTTGTTTCAGACATTAAAAGCTTTAATATTGTGGTTATAACTTATAGACATTAAATTTGTTAATAATATTCTAAGCTAAGAGAATAGGAGTATGGTTTAATTGTGTAAATGAAATCAGTATAGAGAGAAGAGATTGAGACAAGTTCGCCTGATAGCACTGACACAAAAAATGAGATAATCTGTGCAATAATATCATACATGATGGAGTAAGTATTCTCAATCTGTCAACTTTTTATTTGGTCCCAAATGGTAGGGTTTCCAATTATTACTATTTATATATTTTAAAAAAAACTAAGAATATATTTTATAATAAAAATTTATCTAGATTGAAGAAAAAAAAGAATATATATGTTTGGATCATCTAAAGTGAGAATGAGAATAAGAACAATGAGTTTCTCCAAGGGTGAATGATCTACCATCCAACCAATCCACTAGATAGGTCAAACTCCAATGTAATCAATCAACTTTACAGGATGCCATGGCCACTAATAATTAGAACAAATTGCTCAAAAGCATATCCCATTAATAACTTAGAGGAAAGTGCAAACTATAGTAAATCATGATTACATATAAGAAATGTGGTGGAAAGCAAACACCTTTGGTGTGGCTACTTTCAATTCCTTCAAACCTCAAAATCATCTACTTTGGTCTTTTTCATATTGTTTATCCATTCATTTTGTGGGAGAAAGTACACCTTTTGGCTTTACACTGCATCCACAATGGTGAATCTGTACTCCATCATTTGGGGGTCCCCAATCATTTTTTATTCTTTTAAATAAAGTTATACTATCTACTAGGAATATTTAATACAAAAAATAACTTCACCATTAAATTAAATGAAAAGGATTATAAAAGAGAAATATAAAATCGGCTATCTTTTCGTGCAGAGACTAATTTCTCAACCTGAGAAAGATTACAGTGGACAAAAAGTCTTTTAATCTTTCTCAGGTAAAATTGATACTACCTCTCTGGTAAATATAGTGGACAGAAAGTTAAATTTTTTACTTATATTTACCACAGAGGTAGTATCAATTGACTTGGTTTATCTTTAGCTTATATCATGATATGTATGAAAAGTGATGGAAGCATTATGTCATGCTGTGGCATTAAAGAATGACAGACACCAATGAATAGAGAACAGAACACTGTTTTTTTTCCTATGACTGTGTGAATGGGAATAATAACAGTAAATAGAATGGATTAGTCCAATGGTGGGAACAACAGCATAACATGGATATGTCTCAATCACAATCACATTCTATTATGATCCAAAACTGATTTACCACAACCAAACACATCAGAATTAATTAAGACCATTTTTTCTCCTATGTGCCAATAATTCCATCTCTTCACTCATTTGTTTTTACCCATCTATGTGCACCTCAACTATGAGCACACTCTAAAAAATACTTTGAAGAATTAAACCAGAAAATACATTGATTATCGAATAAATTTAAAAAGTGAATGGTCTAGAACTCGAAGAATCTCACCATAATACCGTGATTCTGACAAACTCACTGCTTAACAATATCAAAAACCATACAAATACTATGTAATATACTAATATCTAATTATTTTTGACCTTATATGTACAGAGAATTGGCAGAAACAGAGTTTATTTTCTTCTTTACTAAGAAAATAATAACAAAAACAGAAAGAAAATAAACACATGTTCTTAAAATAAATAAAAATGGACAATGATTTCTTGAAGATGAAGAACAAAAAAGAAGGAAAAAAAAAGAAGAAGAACCGTTATAGATGATTCGGTGACTCAGAAATACTCTCCAAGTGAGGTCTCCACACAGCAACACGTCCTCTTCTTCTGTCTCTCTGACACGAAAGTTTCTCAGACAAAATCTCAGTCAAGTACTGATCAGAAGACACGACCAAACCACTGTTTCCAATGTTGTTGTTGGTAGTAGCGATAGTACTATTATTATTATTATCTTCCTTTCTTTTCTTTCTCCCATTCGAAGAGTTTTTCCCATGGCGGTGGTTATTTTTCTCTGCCGGCGGCGAAGGTAGAGGCATGAGGAAGTAAATCTTGCCGCGCTGGAGGTCTGCATCGGGAGGAACAACGACGATCTTAGGAACAACGCCATCTTCCGACGAAGAAGAAGGTTTCTTGAGAACATGTTTTGGATAGGCTTTCATGATTTCACTTGCTTTTACAGTGCCACTGATTTCTTCAACTCTGCCGTTGCAGTGTACTATGCGGACTACATCGAGGGCTCCGCATGGGAGGATGCAAGATATGCAACATCTTATGCTGTTTCTCATGGCTTCTCTCTCTTTTTCTAGTTTTATCTCTGTTAATCTCATAGAGAGAGAAGAAGAAGAGGAGAGAGAGACAGTTGAATCAAGAATATGTGAATATATGGAGAATTGAAGAGAAGAGAGATTGGTTTGGAGAATGTGTTTTTCTTTTCTCAGTTAATGGAGTTGGAATCAGTCACATAAAAGAGTTTTTAAGTTTTAGTAAAAGGATGCATTTATTCTCTTTATAGTGATCTTATTATTATTATTTTTTTATATTTTAAATTAGATGGTTTGATATGGGAAATTATTAATATCAAATTATGAGGATAATTATCTTTTGATAACCAATAAGATTGAGCTATTTATATTTGAATCTGACTAAGATATGACCTAGAGATGTACTCACATTTAGTTTAATATTGTTACATGTCAAATATAATTATTTTTATTGGGAAAAACTATTAAAAAAAAAATTAAATTATCGAGTTTTTTTTTATAGAGACTATTTGATGCGCAAAAATCTTCTAGACCTTCAATAGTCTTACAATAAACAACACATCAATAGTCTTACAATATCACATAATATAGTCACGAGTTTAACAAAAAACCAAACATATAAATTTAAACAAAATTAATAAAAGTATAATTTTTTAAAATTAACCTTAAAACCAAGCATCCAAATATAGTAGTTATCTATGGTATGAAATATGAAGAATTAAAAATAGTATAATTATTTTTATTGGAAAAAATTAAAAAAAAAAAAATTAAATTATCGAGTTTTTTTGGTAGAGACTATTTGATGCGCAAAAATCTTCGAGACTTTCGATTTCGAAGAAATAGATCACTTAACATTCCATCAAAATATTTTTAAGTAAAAAAAAAAATAATTACTTAGTTTAAGTATTTGTTATGAAGATTAATTATTATTTAGTATTTAGATTTGCAATGAATTTTGCACTAGTACAATCACAAGCTCATTTGAAAATAACCACATTAAACTTTGAATAATTATATTAGAATTAGTCACCACATATTTATTAAAACTTTAAATAAACACTAGACATATTCACTTATTTTCATATTTATGCAGCATGATATATTAGTGGTTGTTGGATCAAGATAGAACAAAATAAAATTCCAATAATTAATTTTATAAAAAATAAAATTTAAATTTTGTAACATCTAATTTCAATTCAACCATTGTCATTCTTACTAGTGTGTGGATGTCAGAGCCACAAGACTAGACAAAATCCATATTAATATAAATCATCTCCCTTATATAAATAACAATAAACAACACATCAATAGTCTTACAATATCACATAATATAGTCACGAGTTAAACAAAAAAAACCAAACATTTAAATTTAAAAAAAATTAATAAAAGTATAATTTTTTAAAATTAACCTTAAAACCAAGCATCCAAATATAGTAGTTATCTATGATATGAAATATGAAGAATTAATAAGAAAACAGTCTGTATATAGTTTGGGTTTTGATCCATTATTCAGGGTCCCTCAGTGAGCCCCTGACCACACATACAACACAAACTCTTTACTTTTAGTGATTTGAATAGTAATGAGTTAGGAATGGAAGGTTGGGATACTCATAAGCGACACATGGTTTATAGTGAGTGATAGGGACTTATTAGCAAGCAAAAACTTGTCACTTGGATGTGCGTGTATCAATCAATACTTGACACTTGTCTGCCAATAATAAATATTTATACACTTAGTTTTGGTGAAGAGGGTGTTGATGTAGGGTCGATGAGAGAAAGAGGGGCTGGGATTTGAGGTTTGTGAATTCCCCAAGCATGATCATGTGGCTTGTGGTTTTCATTGGAAAGTGAAGTTTGGTGGTTTTCACACTTTATAGGTTAATGAAGGGCTTTTATTTTACTACTAAAGCAAAGGTGTTTATAAAAAACTGATGAAGTATTATTCTTCTATGTGTATTATTACCATAGATGACTAATTAAGTAATGGCCCATTACAAGTGATTGAGGTAATTAATCTTGTAAGGACATGAGTTTATGGCAACTGATATGATTTGTATACAGTATCATGTTGACCTAAGTGGTCCATATAATAATTGAATATCCATGAATAGAGATTTCCAAAATGAGGACAAGAAGTTAAAAGTGTTTGGATGGTTTAATTGGTGGTTAAATAATAAATTATACTTGTCCCATTTCTAATGTGGCCCTCGCATTTAATAGATGTTAGTGGAAACATGTGAAGTGAGGATGGGAGAGACCAAAGTTGAGGGCTTTCCATATTCTATATGCGCTCTCGGACCGGTATGAATAGAATATAGGATCGATGCGAGTTAGATAACTTGATATTGGGACCATCAACAAACACACATGTTGCTTCACCATCATTCCTAGACGAAATCAACTTCTAACAAACAATTTTGCTCAAAAATATGTGACTTAGATCTTTTGTAGGAAGGAAGAGAAGAAAAGACAAGAGTAAGGCTTGACAAATGATGGAGAATGCCTTAAGAAAATTGAAGAAATTGTACATTTTTCTTATGCTCTGAATATGAGGTGTTTCAAGTGAAAAACATGAGAAGACCCTGTTATAACGAGTATAGTCATCATTCACGGTGAAATGATTGTTTTCTATCATCTTGTCTAAATCTATCGGTTCATTTGAATTTGTCTAAAAAGATTTTCTTTATGACGATTGTTTCGCTAATAGAGTAAGAAAACATGTGTGAGCACAATTAAATATGATTTGAACATTGTGACTTGTTCTACAGTGGTGTGGAGCTTCACTTTTCAAGAGTATTTTTTATGATCCCACAAACAAGGCTTCCAATGTTGGCCTTTCCAAGACACAATTATAAAACATGTATGCATTTAATCACCAAAAATCTTACCTTCACAAGTTTCTTGTGTTCTCTGTCCTAAAGTACCACTGTAATTTCCATTTACACTTGGGTTTTGTGTTGGTGTCATCGTAACCTTGGAGAATTCCTCCATGATAGGATGGTAATATTGATTTCATGCCTAACTTATTGTACATTTCTGTGTACAGGATATTGCAAGAGCTCACTTGGATATGATGTACCTTGATGTTCTCATCAAAATGGATACATGGTGGTTTGATATGCCATTAACTAGCTTGTCGTCATATAACGAAAATGGAGGTGATCCCTCTTTCTCAAGCGAGCCCTTAAGAGGTACCATATCATTCGGAATTTTTGCGCTCCCTCGTTAGGAAAAAGCATATCTCCTCGCTCGATCAGGAGAGTCACCATACAGTGCGAGAAATTGGATCTGAGTTTTTGTCTTGTACTTGAGGGGCAAGTTTATAAATAGATTTTTCTAAAGGGTACACAATTTCCCATTGGCGCATGTTACAGTGTGAATGTCGTCCCATAAGTTGGAAATTCCTATAGAGTATAGGCAGGTAGAAAATGGTGAAATACATTTTCTTCTTTTCACCTATATCATTCTTAAGTGATTCCTTTGGTCGTGATCATGATGAGATTCCATTGGATGGGCTCAATGATGGTTATGTGGATCTACGTGATTACATGTATGATGTCTACAACAATATGTTTAACTTTTATGATGACAACACTCTAAAGTGAAGTATTCACCAGAAGTGTTGATCAAGTCTATCTGGTTTAGACGATGATAACACTGTAAGGTGAATTCTTCATCTATTGTGGTGCCTATAGATCAAAATATCAAAGCCTATCTTTGGAGGGCAACACCTAATGTCAAACGAAATTTGGTGGAGCCAATGACGATCTCTTTTCATGTAGTAAGTCTGAGGATGGTGTATATCATGAAGATTCATCTCAAGCCTCATTAGGGAGAAGATCCAAGGTTCTAATGAAGTGTTAAAGTCAAACATAATGTAGTAAGAAACTTAAAGTTCCCGAATTGTAAAAGAAAGGAAGTGTGAAAGCTTGTCATGTCTGTGTCGAGTGATATTTGTCTGTAAAGGTATAAAATTAGCTCTTGAGTTTACTAAGGCAAATTACACACACACTTTTGAATGACCGGAAAGTCTATCTTATTTTATTAAATCAACCGAAAAATGTTTTTTCCTAGCTAATAGATTAATGGCTCACTCTAATCAATTAGAAGGGTTTTTTAACATGGCATAGTCGATCAGTCCCTTAGGGTTTATCAATTATCATCTTTGTAATTGATTATTATGTCTATTAATTGATTGGTGGCGGCACCTTTTGAAAATGCTCCTTTTTGTGTCACATAATCAATTATGTGATATGCGTAATTAGTTATTGACATTAAAAATCTCATAATTCCTTTTCATATTTAAGCCACACTTTGTCCTATAAATAAATGACTTGTTTCTCGTTTCATTCACACCAGAAAACATATTTCAATTACCATTTCTCTCTCTTTCTCTCTCTCTCTCTCTCTCTCTCTCTCTATATATATATATATATATATATATATATATATATATATATATATATATATATATATATATATATATATATATATATATATATATATATATATATATATATATATATATATATATATATATATATATATATATATATATATTCAATTTTGCCTTAATGCTGTTGAAAGTGAATCTTTTATCTGTTAGATGTTTGGTTTTGGTGTATGAGCTTTGTTGTAAACCTTCATTGTGAGAAGTTTGTTTTGGTTTTGAGGAAAATCAATTAAAAAGCTCTTGTTTGGTTTTTGAGGTGAAACTGATAAAACCTCTATTTTATTGGGAGGTCTCCGTAATTAAAACCCTCGTTTGGTTCGCAAGTTTAGCCTAGTTTTAAAAATTCTCAGTTGATTCGAGATTATTATGGTGGTAACATATCTTGGTTGGAAGGTCTTTGTAGTTAAAACCCTCATGTTTGGTTGGGAGGAAAGTCATTGTAAAACTCCAAATCTTTTTTAAGGAGGGTCATGGGTAAAACATGTCAAAATCTAACATCATAGTGGAAACTCTCAAGACGAAATTTTTGGGGAAAGAAGTAGGTTAAATCATTAGGTTGAACCTCTATAAGTCACCGGTGCATCTTTATTTTTGCTTATCTATTTACATTTCT